GAAGATGGATGTCAGTGTTATAGATTATTTTGTGCCTAAAATTTTAGGAGACAAACCTGTGGATGGTGACAGGGCTTATTTAATTTATATTTGCTTTAAGTAGTATTGACTTTTAGATATGAATTCTATCTTAATGCTTTCTCCCCACCAAAGTGACAAGTAAATTCTTCAGATGTAACTGAGTTGGTAGGTTGGGCCTTGCTGATTTATGCACTGGCGTGTCAGTCCTACTCTGTTGCTGTGAGTAATGTCTTTGACAGTTTACTTGGGTATCACCACTGTTTTTAATCTTTTACTTTTTAAAAAAAGTTAATTTTATTTTTTGGCTGCATATTGGGTGTCTGTTGCTGCTCATGGGCTTTCTCTAGTTATGGGGAGCAGTGTGCGGGCTTCTCATTGTGGTGGCTTCTCTTGTTGCGGAGCACGGGCTCCAGGCGTGTGGGCTTCAGTAGTTGTGGCTCGTGGGCTCCAGAGCGCAGGCTCAGTAGTTGTGGCTCGTGGGCTCTAGAGTGTAGGCTCAGTAGTTGTGGCACACAGGCTCAGTTGCTCTGCGGCATGTGGGATCTTCCGGTACCACAGCTCGAACCTGTGTCCCCTCCTGCAGTAGCAGGCAGATTCTTAAGCACTGGGCCACCAGGGAAGCCCAAGGGTATCACCACTGTTAAATGGAGTTTGCTTTGGCAACACCAGCAACATTTTTCCCTTTGTTATCTTTCTGCTTTTAAGAGAACATTAAAGATTAGGTCTTATAGCTGTAAAGAAATAGTAGTTTTGAATTTATTTTTTTAATACTGAAATTCGATTCCATATCCAAATCCTATGAAATATTTGATAATAAATCTACAGAAGTGATTCACAGAATATAGCTGCCTTTTAAAATTCCTACTTTCCTGCAGAGGGTATTACCCTACCAAATAAAAAATATTTGCAGTTGCAGCTGGCATGAGACTTAACAGCACCTTAGTGATTTGATTTATCTAAACAGTATGTTTTCTAGGACTGAACTGAGAGATGAGGATAAGAATGACTAAATGGGGTCAGTTATGTTTCATGTTTTCTTTACATTGCTATCTGGAGGAATAGATAGGTTGCTAGGTAAATGCTTCTTAGTAATCAGTGATATTCTCTTTCTAGAATAAAGAAATTTTGAGTGCAGAACATTCTTCCATAGTTAGGAATATAAAGCACAAGATTTGCTTTACTTAAAAAGTTCAGGTGACGAAGGTCCTTGTATGAAAGGTAACTTACAATAACCTTCCTGTCTCCATATGGCTGTCTGGCTCAAGAGACTTTCAGTCCATTTGAGGGGCCATGTAAAGAGAGCCTTCTTATTCATAGTACTGCTGGTTGGGCTCATAGAGTTAAGCCTTAAAAAAACAATGCCATTTGATGAAATGAAAATGTAAGGTTTATAGGTTCTGTCTCTCAGCATGTTTTATTCAGAGTTTTTTTTTTTTTTTTTTTTTTTACTATAATGATTTCCAATATCAACCAAAAAGTAAGTGAGTGTGCAGACATGATTCTTGTTTAAGCCAAAAAAACGTTGCTGGGGATTTTAAATGTTTAATCTGTGATGTCATTGCTTTTTCCTAAAACCTAGCATTTCCACCAAATGGATTCAAGTGTTAATTAAAATGATCTATTTTATTTTAGTAAGCTTATCATTTTCCTTGCCACCTCAATTTTAACATGCTTTGAACTTGAACAAATACAGTGGATTTTGCTTTACTAGTAAAAGTTTCTTCAATATAAAGCCCCTTATCTGAGGGAACACTTTGAAATTCTCTTGGGTTTAATTTATGAATGAGGAAGTTAGAAATGGTAGGTATTGCTGCGCCTCCGCCCTTCCCTGTTATGTAGAGTAATCAAGGTTTGAGTGAGCCTGACTGAGTCTTGTCCCTCTAGCCCAGTGGTTCTTTTTTTTTTTTTTGGTGGTACGTGGGCCTCTCACTGTTGTGGCCTCTCCTGCTGCGGAGCACAGGCTCCGGACGTGCAGGCTCAGCGGCCATGGCTCACGGATCCAGCTGCTCCGCGGCACGTGGGATCCTCCCGGACCAGGGCACGAACCCGTGTCCCCTGCATCGGCAGGCGGACTCTCAACCACTGCGCCACCAGGGAAGCCCTAGCCCAGTGGTTCTTAATAACAAAGGTACCGCCCCCTTGGAGGACATTTTGACAGTTTGTAGGGGTGCTTTTTCACAGCATGGGGGATACTATAAATATTTGATTGGCAGAGATCAGGAAAAATTGTCCCTTGCCCTACAATGATTTTCCAGTATCCCGTCAGATATTATCCTAGAAAGTAACTCTCTTTTATATTTGTAAACACAAAATATTTTTGTATACAGTACACTGAATTTTCTAGGAATGCAGCTACCTAATAAATCAAGGAAAGAGGATTGTTTTGTTTGGAATATTTCCAAGAGTTGTTCACCACTTTGGAAAATTACATCATCCAAGTGCTATTTGAGTTGACATTGCAACGTATCAGGGTCAGTTTTCATCTGTAGTGGTCAAATTCATCTCGTTTTGTCTTCTGTTGTAGCCATTCCTGAGTATTTATGTATCACTATGCATTTTATTATAATTTTATTTCTCCCTTATATTACAGTTAGGGTTTTGTTTTGTTTTTTCATTAAATGGTGTGTGTGTGCGTGTGTAGGTAGTTAGGTAGGTATTATCCAAGAATTTTATTTCAGCATAATAAAAGGGTGTCAGATTGTCTAGGTTGGGAACTGTTGCTTTAAGCAGAGTAATCTGGGGACTTCCCTGGTGGTCCACTGGTTAAGACTTCGCCTTCCAATGCACAGGGTGCGGGTTCGATCCCTGGTTGGGGAGCGAAGATCCCACATGCTTTGGGGCCAAAAAACCAAAACAGGAAACAAGCAATATGGTAACAAATTCAATAAAGACTTTAAAAATGTCCACATAAAAAAAAAAATCTTAAAAAAATCCACAGTAATCTTGTTCTGGGTTGAGGAAGTGAATCTAGGTTAATCCAAAAACAGTGAAGCCTAGGATTTGTGGTAGAGTCGGTGAGGAGATGCTCTCCCAAAGGGACATGGTTTGCATGTGTGAGGTAAGCCTGGCTTTGCTCTAGCCATTTTGCTCTCTTGAGAGAAACTAGCTGGAAGAGAAAAGATGATACACAGAGGAGGATAGAACTAAAGTTGACGTAATTTAGACAGCATACGAAAACCACTGTGAACATAGGTTACTTTGATCATACAGTATTAGCTGTATTAGCCCAAACTAATTGCTCTGGTAAATGGTTAGTGGTTACCAGAGACTGGGAGTGCGGAGAATAGGGAGTGACTGCTAATGGGTGTAGGAGTTCCTTTTGGGGTGATGAAACTGTTCTGGAACTAGATAGTGGTAATTGTTAACCACATTGTAAATGTACTAAGTGCCACAGAATTGTACACTTTAAAATTGTTAAAATGGTAATTTTATGTTATGTGTATTTTACTACAATGAAAAAAAGTCTGGCCCAGAAATCTTTCCATTCAAACAAGGGCCAATACAGTGTCTCTTTAAGCTGGCTAGATACGTTGAGAGAGGGGTGTGGGGATATAATTCCAGGTCTGGCTTGTGGTTATATTGCTGTGGTGGCTGACAGCTTCTGTGCTCCAGTCACCCTGGACTGTTTATCTGGGGAATTGGGGCCAGAGGAGAGACTGGGGTCATGTGCACAGTGAGCAGTTAGGAAAGGATCTGAGATGGGGAGGGGATGATTCCATGAGTAGAAACTAGAATTTCTCTGTGTTCTTAAACCAAAGTAATGCACTGGCTGCACAGTTCAGGTTCTGCTGGGACTCTACTATGTTTTGAGCTACCCTGACTTAATGAGTCTCAGCCTGCAGGAAGACATATTTGTGAATATGTCTAAAATTTCCTTGAAGATTAAGAAACTATTTTACCCACTCTACCCAGTTTTATTTAGACTTTCACCTGTGTGCTAACATGTATAGCTGCTTCAAAGTCTTGAAGAGGAATTCAGTAAGAGATTGATTTACATAGGAAACAATACATAGAAACAAAAACACTTATATAATATATGTAAGTTCTTCAGAGGGCATTAGGAGCCTTTTATCTAAAATTGTTACTGAACCAAATTTGGATCCACTCGCCCGCACACTGTAAAGCCAATCTGCTGACGCCAGATTGTGGTGAAGGAAAGTGCAGTGTTTACTGCAGGGCGCCAAGCAAGGAGTCCAGGCAGCTAATGCTCAAAAAGCCGAAACTCCACAATAGCTTTCAGGCAAAGGTTTTTAAAGACAAGGTGAGGGAGAGGGTTGCAGTGTGTGTGATCAGCTCATGGACATTCTTCTGATTGGTTGGTGGTGAGGTAATAGGGGATCAACATCATCAACCTTCTGGTTCCAACCCATCTGGGGTCTACGTGCTTGTGGGCAGCCTACTGTTAACTTTTTCCACCTGGTGAGGCTTTCATTATCCGCAAAATAGCTCAAAGGTTATGGCTCAGAATATTATCTATAGCCCTTGAGGAGGAACTAAAGGTCCTTGACTTTGTTTAATGGCTAAACTATTATTATTTTGTCTTGCTTGACTGTTTTCCTTTGTTTCTGCGTTTTCTCACTTCTCTGATTAAATTTATTCTTTGGAACTTGGGAAAGGCCTAGGAGGCTAAAGTTTTTCTGCAAAGGCAGGCAGGGGACTTCCCTAGTGGTGCAGTGGTTAAGAATCCACCTGCCAAGGCAAGGGGACATGGGTTCGATCCCTGGTCCGGGAAGATCCCACATGCCGTGGAGGAACTAAGCCCGTGCGCCACAACTACTGAGCCTGTGCTGTGGAGCCCGTGAGCCACAACTACTGAAGCCTGCGTGCCTAGAGCCCGTGCTCCGCAACAAGAGAAGCCACCGCAATGAGAAGCCCGCGCGCTGCAACAGAGAGTAGCCCCACTCGCCGCAACGAAGATGCAAGCAATGCAGCCAAAAAAAAAAAAAAAGCAAGCAGAAGACGGGTTGGGGGTGAGGGGTGGGGGCTGGGGGTTCTGTTCTAGAAAGGTCCTGCTTGGTTACAAAATGAGAATGCAAATGCGTTTGTTTTAGGCCCTTGTGTGATACGTGATAAAACCTGAACTTTTCTGCCTAATACAAAATAATAGGACTGATGCAAATGTCAATGACTGCAATCATGGTAGAGCTTTTCTTATTTAGACTGTTACAAGTAACATCCACAGTACTGTTGCTAGCACAAATTCAGACTTGTCCTACAAAGGCCTCATATGCCATGATACCTATCAGCAAAGTGCTGATATCTGTGCTGAAATTTCCACCCTTGACCAGAGAGACTAAAATAGTTCTACCACCTCTTCTACTTCTTCCTGCTGTGTAATCTTTGCTCCCTACAGTTTCTGCTCAAAACACCAGTCTCCGAGTCAGTAAAACCTGTTATTTTCCTTAGTTTATTTATGTTTCTGAGGAAGGCGGGACTGCTTTGGGGAGTTATTTCCATCACGTGTGACTGAGGACCACGTGGTTTATAAATTCTAGAGAATGTACAGGGATAACATCTTGGAGCCTCAGCCTCAACCTCCTCGCCACCAGGTGTGACATACTGGATTGATCTGCAACCTAGAGCTGTATTATGGGCCATGATGCTCTTCCAGTGAGGAGCAGGTAAGCATGTGACTGTGTATAAGGGAAAGGGCAGAGACTGTGAGATAGGAGAGACCTGTACTGCAGTGATGGTTCCTAGTCTAATTCCACATTGATACAATGTAGAGTTTAGGCTAGATGACATAGTTTGCTAAAGAATACAGTTTTATTCAACGGTGATATTTTTTCTGATTCTTTTTTGACCCAGCAGTTACCACTTGTGGAAAGGGGCTGTTGTAATCAGTAGGGACATAATACTGTACATCAACTGTACTTCAATTTAAAAAAAAAAAGATAACAAAGAGCTTTACTAGCTTTAGAGCTGCTTCTCCCACTGCACACAGGCAGGGAAACTAATTTATAGCCCTGGTGATTGCCGAATACAGCCTTCAACCTGCCGGACCAGGGAATCTAACCAGAGGATATGGGAAGCTGTGTAGCCCATCCAGTAGCTCTACATACAGTGGGACTTGAACAGAGAGCACAGCCCATGGCTTTCCCCATCTGCAGAGCAAAACTTGTGGCCTCACCTGACCAGGGAATTCAGTGCACGCTTGCCTGATTCAGGTCCCCAAACAACAAGCCATGCAGGCCCTGGCTGCTATCCTGCTGCTCTGCCAGCACAGGGAAGCTAATTCATAGCCCCATGTACTACCAAATATAGTATCTAGTCCCAACCATCTAGTAAGCCTGACCAGAAAATCCAGACAACAGTGAGGCCCATCCTTTAGCCTCACTTGGGAAGTGAGCAGTTCTATCCAACTGTTCTCAGGGCAAAACCCCCCCATTCCCATCCTCAGAAAAAAAAAAAAAAGATCAATAGGTAAAATTGTTAATTGAGTAACAGTTTTATTTTTGCCTGAATTATTCAGATTTCTTAAATTGATCAGGTTAGTTATTCTCTAGTTATTTTGCTTTTGTAGCAGTCTTAGTGAATAAAGGAAAGGATTAGGCTACCCAGTATCTTGCATCATGAATGCTCATGTGATGATCCTTTTTTAAAAGTTTTTAATTATAATTGACATATAGAAGGTGCACAATGAGTTGATTTGATACATTTATAAATTGCAGTATGATTATCACCACCATCGTGTTAGCTAACACCTCTGTCACTTCACATAATTATCATTTTTTCTCTTCCAGTTTTGAGATATAATTGACATGCAGCACTATATAAGTTTAAGGTGTACAGCATAATAATTTGACTTACATACATCATGAAATGATTACCACAGTAAGTGTAGTGAATGAACATTGATCATCTCATATAGATAGAAAATAAGGTGTAAAAAAACCCTTTTTCCTTGTGATGAGAACTCTTAGGGTTTACTGTCTTAACTGTCATATATAATGTACAGCAGTGTTATATTTATCATGTTGTACCTTATACCCCCAGTACTTATGTATCTTATAGTTGGAAGTTTGACTTCCTTCCTGACCTTTTGACTGCCTTAATCCATTTCCCCTTCCCTCGCCCCCCATGTGACGAACCTTAAAAATGGTTTAGGTCAGATAGCTTGGATTAGGGTAAGAACTTCCCATCCCAACATAAAGCTAGCTGAGGAGGTGATTGCTAACAATAGGGGTTCCATTCCATGGGATTCCCAAATGCCGCCAACCACCTGTTGCTTAGATTGTGGGTAAGGTGGATGGGCTCAGGATATGGGTTGGGTTGCCATGATGGTGGGCAGGGAGTGACTGTGTTGGCACACCTAGGTGTTAGGTTTGGATATCTTGAAAACTGCTCTTCAAAGATGAGCCTGTCTGAACTTGAAGAAATATCTTGAGTACACAGATCCTAACTTTCGAGACTTGGAGAAAAGAAGCACGGTAGTTAAGCTTCAAGGAAAAAAAATATTCTATGTGGCTTTGAGAAAAATCTAGACATTTGTAGTCACAAGAAAATCTCACTGTGCCATTGGCTATCTAGAAGTGAGAGGGATTGATCATAGGCATTTAAAAAACATCTCCATTAAGTGGGAGAGACTTTACTGGGAGAACCTGGATTATAGTCTGTCTGGACTAGAGTCATACCATATCAACCAAAAATCCTGCTTTGACTGTGTTTACATATTGCCAGCTCCCAAAGCTTCTTGAAAGAAATATCTGTGCTGGCAGACAGGTGGTTGAATAAACTGCAAGAAAGAGTGGTATTTTTCAATTAAGGCACAGTTTATACACGTGCCAAGATAATATATTGGAATTAAGAAGGGACGGAAACAGAACTCTTATTACATTCTGGTGGTTCTGGATGAGTCAAAAATAATTCCTAATAACTTTGAAGGTAGTATTGTGTAATAGAGCACTGGGTTAGAACTTGTAAGGACTGACTTATCCCAGCTGTGCCACTAACAAGCTGTGTGACCTTGAGCAAGTCATTTTTAAAGGAACTTTTAAACCTTAGATTCCTTTTGTGTAAAATGAGAACAATAATATCTGACCTACTTATCTGACAATGAGAAAATACATATAAAAAAGCACTTTTGGTGATGCTCATAAATCTTCAGGAGAGATGGGGCACTTCCATTTGAGAGGGCCTCTACACTGTCATGGGATTGACACTTGGGAAGGAAATATAGGCTGCCACAACTCAATCACTGCCATTTTAAATCTGTGTTCAGCTGCTCCTTTGAGAATTTTTCAGCAATATAAATGAATTTTATAGATTAAAAGTAGTGTAGCTCAGGTAATAGAAGATCCAGCAAGTCGATGATTCAAATTATTTCAACCTATCTGGACAGTTTTTTTGTGTGTTTGTTTTAAAAAAGACTTGGCTCACATCTGGCTTCTCTTCTAAATGGGAGAGAAAGAGTTTAGCACAGACCCAAGGGCATCATGGGGCACTTTCCCCATAAGTGCAGGCAGCCCTGATGATATACTGACTAACAAAGAGTACAGGAGGGACAGAAATCTGGTGAGAACCCTCAAACACAGCTAAGCCTCCCATGGAAATCTTTCCTGAGACCTGCTCATGACACCAGAGCGAGAGGTGGAAGCTGCCTTCTCCATCGGCCCGTCCCCTCCCTTGTGTTGAACAATCCATGTCCAGATCAATAAAAGTCCTCCTAAATTCTAGAGGCAGGCAAAGTTAAATTTAACTATTAGTTTAAAAGAAGTATGTGATAGAACTTTACTTTTAATATTGAATATATACAAATTATGTATATTTGTATACCTATCTTATAATAAATGGAGATCTCTTATACAACCAGGATGTGGTATACATAGACCCGTTTATTTTTAGTGAATGGGGAGTTTGGAAGTCGTAATGCTGGATTTTAACACTGTATTGGCCATATCTGATTTATTTGACAAATATTCCCTTGGTCAAGACCCTTCATCGTTCTGGGAAATGGGAAACAATGCGAAAACAATTTAATTCCTAATGACCAATTTATAATATTTTCCAGAAACTCAGTGGTATGAAGACTGCCTGCCTGAATATTTCTGGCTACTTCATGAAAGTACAGAGGTTGTTACATTTCTTTTCTACTCTGTGAAGTAATTTTACAGGACTTTGAAAGGTACCAACTAGATTATAGCAAACAGTACCTGTCAGTTTTAGTTCTGTCTGTCTGGATTTGATAGATTTTTTTTTTCTCAGCTGTTAATATTTCTAGGCTAAAGAGTCACTTTTCTTTCTTTCTCCCTCCCTCCCTCCCTCTCTCCCTTCCTTCCTTCCTTCCTTCCTTTCTCTTTCCCTAGTTTAGTTTATTCTAATGAAGTAGCTCTGCCTTCACCAAAGTCCCCAAATTTCCATCATTTAGTTGTTCTTTTTCTCAGGTTCTGAGATGCGTCAAGCAGAACTTTATGCCAGCTGTGTAATCACTCCAGTTCATAGGAGGCTGTTTTCCATTTTGTTTTCCTTACCCTTAGAAGGAAGAGTGCTGAGGCGGAAGGAGTGTAGGATTTGGAGTCAGACATCCTAGGTTCATGGCCTCACTCTGTCATTTATTAGCTATATGAGCCTGAGAAAGTCCTTTAAAAATGTCCTGAGCCTCGGTTGTTTATTAATCTATAAAATCGAGAAGTTAACATCTGTGTCTCATTTATTCATTTAAAATTAAATTGTCATAGAGTGGGTGTTGGGTACTGTTACAGTGACCCTATTTTTTTTTCTTTTGTTTGTGAAGGGTTCATTAGACTTTGAACTCCATAGGGCAGGAAGCTTTGTATTTTCTTTCCCCTTCCTATCAGTACCTCACCCATAGTCAGTCTCCCACATGAAATTATCTTCACAGTTGAGGACTGTCTCCATTGGTGTCAAAGCCACAGCTCGACCTTGCCTAACTTTGTGTCTGGGAGGAAAAAGCAAGCATGCTTATCAAGGGGAAGATAATAGAAATCTAAAAGGAAGTTATAATACTGAAGACCACAGAGTCAAGATTAAAAACTATCTTGACAGGCTGTGGCCCTGGGTTGGAAACAAGGTGAAATTAAACTGATAAGAAAAGGTTCCTCATTTAAGTTTAATATTTAATAATAATAGCTAATATTTATTGAGCATTTATGTATGCTAGGCATCCTCTTAAATATACGTGTTATGTAATTCTTATGACAGTCAGATGAGGTAGGTATCATTATTACAAAGATGGGGAAATTTAATGTAACCTATCCAAGGTAGCTCAGCCATTAAGTATTAGAACCAGGATTCCAACCTATGAAGTTCTAAAGCACACACACTTAACTGCTGTGGCAGTTAAGTTAATGGTAATTTGTTATGGCAGGAATAGAAAACTAATTCTGTTGCATTCATTTCCCAACAGAAACCACAGTCTAAATATTAAACCACACTACGATGAGGCTAAAACAAAACTAACAAGGATAGAGAAGCATTAGTTTTCAGATCATGCCTTACTATGTTCTAGATTGGCCAGACTATTTCGGGAATACTGGGTCAATTCTGAAAGCCATATTTTGAAAGTCATCAGCAAATTAAAAGTGAATCAGGCATAAGAGTGATGAGCATAAGAGTCACAAAATTTTACAACTTTGGAAATGGATGCATTTTGTACACACCTAGTTTTGTCCTATTCCAGTATCTTCTGGGAGTATTGATGTATTTCATCAAGGTATATAACAGATTTTTTTGCTGTTTTTTTTTCTGATTTCAAAGATTATCAGACAAAGTTCAAACATCTCCAAAATATAAAATAGGTGACAGAAGTCCACTCGAATCCCTACTCCTCACCACTCTCAAAGCCTTGCAGGATCTTACTCTTTTTATTTATATGTCTATTAACCTATCTATATATGTGTTTATATTTTTCAGTAAAAAGCATCACAAGGTTTATAGATTATGAATCTTGAAAGACAAAACCTTTTCCAAGATTCTACAAATATTTTCCTACACTTTAATGGCTTTTTTTTTTTTAATTTAGATTTTTTGGTCTACTTGAGAATTTATTTTTGTGTACTATGTAATATAATGATCTAATTAAAATTTTTTCTGTATGCATAACTAATGGTCTTAACAGAATTTGCTGAATAATCCCACCCAGGTGGTGACCTTTACCATATACTAAATCCCCATAGTGCTTGTGTCTGGTTTTGTATTCTCTAATCTGTTCCACTGGTCATCTATTCCTGAGCCAGTGCTGTGCTTTTGTTTAGATATCTGGCAGAGTAAGCTACCCTCATTCATCTTATTTTTCATACTTTTATTTATTTATTTAAAATTTCTTTATTTTTGGCTGCATTGGGTCTTCGTTGCTGCGCATGGGCTTTCTCTAGTTGTGGTGAGAGGGGGCTACTCTTCACTGCGGTGTGCAGCCTTCTTATGGCAGTGGCTTCTCTCGTTGTGGAGCATGGGCTCTAGGTGCGTGGGCTTCAGTAGTTGTGGCACGTGGGCTCAGTAGTTGTGGCACGCAGGCTCAGTAGTTGTGGCTCACTGGCTCTAGAGCACAGGCTCAGTAGTTGTGGCGCACGAGCTTAGTTGCTCCGCGACATGTGGGATCTTCCCGGACCAGGGTTCGAACCTGTGTCCCCTGCATTGGCAGGCGGATTCTTAACGACTGTGCCACCAGGGAAGCCCCACTTATGATGGTTTGACTTAACAATTTTTCAGCTTTACAGTGGTGCAAAAGCAAAACTCAGTAGAAACTGTACTTCAAATTTTGAATTTTGGTCTTTTTCCAGGCTAGCAATATACCCTACAATACTTTCTCCTGATGCTGGGCAGTGGCAGCGAGCAGTAGCTCTCAGTCAGCCACTCCATCAAGAGGGTAAACAACTGATACACTTGCAGTGATTCTATTCCCATACAGCCATTCTGTTTTTCACTTTCAGTAACTGTATTGAATACAGTTATTTATTGAATGTATTCAGTAAATTACATGAGATATTCAACACTTTATTATAAAATAGGCTTTGTGTTAGATGATTTTTGCCTGACTGTAGGCTAATGTAAGTGTTCTGAGCACGTTTAAGGTAGGCTAGGCTAAGCTATAATGTTTGGTAGGTTAGGTGTATTAAGTGCATTTTTGACTTATAGTATTTTCAATTTACAATGGGTTTATTGGGATGTAACCTTTCAGTAAGTCGAGGAAGATCTATAGAGAAGCGTCAGACTTGGGAACAAAGGCAGAGAAGATGAGTGTTGAGGCACCATCCTGCAAATGAAAATTAAGTGAAAATCTACATATGGAAGGATGTGACTCCCTACACTTGGTCCTCATCCTGGCTCCTTTTCCTTCTTCAAACTAGGCTCTCTGGGCAAAAGATTGAAGAATTCTCTGGAGAACCTGTCTGGCCCAAGGCAAAAATACCACAGCTTCTGACAATTTAGGGTTTCTTGGGAAATGGGCAGTTACCCTACAGAGATGGCTATTATTGAACCATCCTTGCCCGTGCATACAGAGCTTTTTAGTATCTCCCTCTTAAACAATCCCTCATGGGCAATGGCAGAGAATGTGGTCAGGCTACAGGCAGTCCAGAGGCTGCCAGACCTCTCTATATAGCAGACAGTTTGTGGAAACATTGTACCAGCTTAAGGAGTCTAGTCCATATGGCATGTTCAAATTTTCAATAAATGCCTAAAATTTTTTAAAAAATCAGCTCTTTTGTATCTCCCTCTTAAACATGAATAGACTGCCAAAAATATAGTCCTTTAACATGAAAGACAGAGACCCAAATAGAAAAAAAGAAGTCCAGAGAAAACAGACTACTAAGGAGCAGAAGAAAATTAAAAACAAAATCTTCTACATTCTTAGGGAAATGAGAACGTTTTGCATGAGTGAAACAAGTATGGAATGCTTTTAAACAACAACGAAGAACAAAACCATAAAGAGCTCTAAGAAATTAAAAAATTAAAGTCAAAATTAAAGTCAATGAATACTAGCAATGAATAATCAGAAACTGAAAATATTTATAATACCACCTTACAGTAGCATAAAAAATATGAACTGTTTAGGGAATAAACCTGAAAAAAGATGTGCGAGACCTGTACACTGAAAACTATGAAATGTTGCTGAGAGAAATTGAAGAGGATAAATAAATAGAGAGGGGTATTTTGTTCATGGGTTAGAAGACTGAATACAGTTTAAATGTCAATTCTCCCAAAATTGACCTATAGATTTAATGCAATCCCTATCAAAATCCCAGCAGGCTTTTTTTTTTTTAATAACCTCATTCTAAAAATTCACATGAACTGTGAAGGACCCAGAATAGTCAAAACAACTTGGAAGAAGAAGTACGAAGTTGGAGGACTAAAACGACCTGGTTTCAAATATTATGACACAGCTATAGTAAGCAACACGGCGGTGGTGTAAGACAGGTAGATCAGTAGAACAGAACAGAGTGTAGAAATAGATCCACACATTGCTGACTGATTTCTGACAAAGATGAAAAGATAACTCAGTGGCAAAATGATAGTCTTTTCAACAAATGTTGCTGGAACAATTAAATATACATATGCCAAACCCCCCCAAAAACAAACAAAAAAACCCGTAACTTCATATCTTGTACCATATACAAAATTAATTCAAGATAAGTCAAAGACCTAAATATAAGAACTAAAACCATAAATCTTGTAGACAAAAACAGGAGAAAAATCTTTGCGAATCTTTGCGTTTAGGTAAATATTTCTTAGTTATGACACCAAAAGCATGGTCTATAAAGAACAAACTCATAAATTGGACTTCATCAGATTAAAACCTCTGATCTTAGAGAATGAGAAGACAAGGAGAAAATATTTGTAATGTGTATATATGATAAAGGACTTGTATATGGAAACTATAAAGAACTCTCAAAAGTCAACAATAAGAAAACAACCCTATTAAAACGTTTCATCAGAGAAGATACGTGAATGATCAATAAGCACATACAAAGATGCTTAACATCATTAGTCAATAGGGTAATGGAAATTAAAACTTTAGTGAGATACCACTCCATACCTATTAGAATGGCTAAAATTAAGAAGTCTGACCATACTAAATGTTGGTGAGGTTTGTAGAGGAACTGGAGCTATCATATATTTCTGGTGGGAATGTAAAATGGTACAACACTTTGCAAAAATAATTTAGCAGTTTCCTAAAAGTTAAACCATGCACCTGTCATGTGATCCAGCCATTCACTCCTAGAGAAAAGAAAGTATATGTTCATACAATGACTTGTACACAGATGTTCATAGCATCAATAGCTTTACTTATAAGAGCCCCAAATTGGAAACAGCCCCAGATGTCCATCCACAAGTGAATGAATAAACAAATGGTGGTATGTCCATATATAGTGTCAGTTCTGCCCTGCCCCAAGACCAACCAGATTCAAGGGAAGGGTACACAGACTCCACCTCTCACTGGCAGTAGTGTCAAAGTCACAGTGTAAGAAGAGCATGTGGGATGAGAGAGATTGTTGAACATGCCACAGTGTCCCCGAAATACTAACCCTTTTTAAAGCCCTTCATCACATATCAAACTCAGAACACAAAACAACCATTGTCCCATAACGTAGTACAGTGCCCCTGTTTGTCGAGAGCCCATTAACCAGAACAGCTCTGCCTCTGGTTAATGAAAGCTCGTTTCTGAGAGGCAACAGGGTGTGTCCTATCATACACTAAGTGCTCTTCAAGAATTGAGCTCAAAGAAATGCAGTACAGGATTGTGGCTTGAGGGTCAGATGTGAAAATTGTAATTAGTTTAGGTCAACACTTATCGTGGCTGCTGTTTTCAGTGGAGTATTTCTGGTTGCCAATCATGTCTGTGCATGGTGTGGCCAAACTTTTTGGCATTGTTCAGTTCTCCAACCTCTAGACTTTTCTAGAAGATGCTCACTCTCTTGAAATTAGACCCAAGGGACTTCCCTGGTGGCCCAGTGGTTAAGACTCTTCCCTCCTAATGCAGGGGGCCGGGGTTCGATCCCTGGTCAAGGAAATAGATCCCACGTGCCGCAACTAAGAGTTCGCATGCCACAACTAAAAAAAAAAGATCCCGCATGCCGCAATGAAGATCCCACATGCTGCAACTAAGACCCAACACAGCCAAATAAGTAAATAAATAAACATTAAAAAAAAAGAAATTTCACCCAGGCAGCTATTAAACTAGCTCCTTCATTTGAAAAAAAATTTTTTGTGGTAATCAAATGGCCCCAGTTGATAAGGAAAAATCTCTTTTTACCAAACAATATCTCCCAATAATGTAGTAGGGTTGATAGCAAATCAACATTCTATAACACCCTTAAAGTCAGGCAACAATTATCAACGGTGTTGAAAGCATCAGGTTGATGGGAAACTTTTCATATAGAGCCAGAGTGATACCATACAGATTACTTCCCAGTTGCAGGGGAAAAAATGTAACTTTCCCATCATAGGATCACCTTCATCCAGTGGTTGATCTTAGCACCACTAATGGTAGGTCAACCAAATGTTACATGTTTTCTGATGTGCTACACAGATGAGGTAAACAACACTACCTATGATGTATAGCCAAACTTGACTCTACCAAACTTTAATCTCCAGTTGATAAGCAATACAGAAAACAGGAGAAACTAATCAACACTGTAAAGAAGTATCCAGAAAAATCCAAAAGATGGCACAGACCATAGCACATCTGGCTTGGTCTGTTTAATAAATCAGTGTTATGAAGAGAGAAACTGTTACTATTTCAGAAGAGAAAATTATTATGATGCAATGTGTGGACTGTTTAAGCCAGATATATAGGACATTTTAGGATGACTGAGGAAATCTGAATATGGATTGGTATTAGAAAAGATTAAATTTTATTTATATGGAACAGTAGTAATCATTAAATAAAAATCCAGGTTATAAAATAGTATATATAATATGGTCTGACTTTGGTACAAAAAATACAGAAATATATAGTTGTCTCTTGGTATCCCAGAGGGATTGGTTCCAGGACCCCTTGTGGATACCAAAATCCAAGGATGCTCAAGTCCCTCATATAAAGTGATGTAGTGTTTGCATGTAACCTATGCACTTCCTTCTGTATACTTTAAATTGTCTCTAGGTGGGCTTCCCTGGTGGCGCAGTGGTTGAGAGTCCGCCTGCCGATGCAGGGGACACGGGTTCGTGCCCCGGTCCGGGAAGATCCCACAGGCCGCGGAGTGGCTGGGCCCGTGAGCCATGGCCGCTGAGCCTGCGCGTCCGCAGCCTGTGCTCCGCAACGGGAGAGGCCACAGCAGTGAGAGGCCCGGGTACCGCAAAGAAAAAAAAAAAAAAGGAAAAAAATTGTCTCTAGGGACTTCCCTGGTGGCGCAGTGGTTAAGAATCCGCCTGCCAATGCAGGTTGGATCCCTGGTCCGGGAAGATCCCACATGCCGCGGAGCAACTAAGCCCGTGCGCCACAACTACCGAGCCTGCACTCTAGAGTGACCCACAACTACTGAGCCCACGTGCCACAACTACTGAAGCCCAAGTGCCTAGAGCCTGTGCTCCGCAGCAAAAGAAGCCTCCGCAATGAGAAGCCAGTGCATCGCAACGAACAGTAGCCCCCACTTGCTGCAACTAGAGAAAGTCCGCGCGCAGCGGTGAAGACCCAACGCAGCCAAAAATAAATAAATATTTTAAAAATTGTCTCTAGATTACTTGTAATGGCTAATTCAGTGTAAATGCTATGTAAATAGTTGCAAATACAACGTAAATGCTATGTATTAATATATTGTTGCCAGCATGGCAAATTCAAGTTTTGCTTTTTGAAATTTTCTGGAATTTTTTTTCCCTAATATTTTCGGTCTGCAGTTGGTTGAATCCATGAATGTGGAACCCAGGGATACAGAGGGCCAACTGTATATGCAAACTGATAGTCTAAACTGAAACACTTAGGAGAATAAAGGGGGGCACTATTGATACATATGCCAGGACAACAGATATAAATTGGTTCTTCCAGGTGAGCCAGGAGGATGGCCATCCTAGAAGCAGCTGTTCTCAAACCTCATCGTTCTGTAGAGTTGCCTGGGAGTGGGTGGGTGTTGGGTATGTAAAATGAAGTTTCTGAGGCCCCATTCCCAGAGATTCTGACTCAGTAGCTCCAGGGTGGCCCAGGAATTGGTCTTTTTCACAAGTGCCCAGGTGATTCTCATGCTGGGACCGGTGAGAGAATGGAGCTTGGCCTAAAGCAGTTTTTCTGCTGACGTCAACACTAAGCAGGGATTGGCTAATCTTTGTGGATATATTTAACTGAATTCTGCTTTTTTTTTTCCTTCTTGAGTCAATGACTCAGCAATCCATCTGTTGCCTATTAAAAGAGACAGGAAAGTACAGTGGTTAAATGAATGGCCTCTGCAGTCTGATAGAACTGGTTTGAGCACCAGCTTTAGCACTTGTTAGCTGTATGACACTGGGTATGTTTCTTAACATCTCTAGGTTTGTTTTCTTTTAGGTAAAATAGGAATATTGATAAAGTTATGAGAATTAAATGAGATAATACATTTAAAGCATAAAGTAAGTCTCAATAAACAGTAGTTATGACTGTTATTATGATCACTATTACTATTACTGAACAGGCAGGCATTGCACTGGGCTGACCCTGGAAGTGCATGATGTGTGTCACTGTCTCTCAAATGTAGGGTGTCCCCTGGAAAACAAAATGAACTCCTCTTTCCTGACCCGCACAGATGATTCATAAATGCTTGGTGAACAGCTTTACACTGCACATCTGTTCCCTGACAGCCTCTGAGAAGTCTGTGGAACAGTTTCCTGAGTCTTTGGCATGGGAGTCCTACACAGCACAGCTGCTTCAATATTGTGTTCTGAAATCTCGGTTCTGGTTACTGTGGAATAAAAAGCTGAGCACAGGAACTAGAGGGAAATTCTCCAGCCTTTTGAACTCAACTTGTCCTTTCTGGGTATGTTTTATTTCTTATCCAACGTAAGTCTAAGAAGGCAAGGTTTTCATGGCAACATAATGATTGCTACCCAATAAGGGAAGGTGATTTCCTGAAAGATTCCTGCTGTTTTCTTAGCAGGTGGAAACTTCAGTGGCTGCAGAGGCTGTGTGCTGTTATTGTCCTTCCTGGACTCATTCTTTCCATTCTGAGACAGGAAACAAAACATCCAGAGGAAACAATTGGTAGTTCTGTCCCTATTTCTACTTACTGGTGGGGGGGAGGGGGTGGGGACACTGGTTTTTTTTGGGGGGCTTCGCTTTGTTTTCTTTGTCTTTTATGCTTCCATCCTGTAACATTATCACCTATATTTTTTGAAAAGTCAAGATGCATCCTTTGACACATGGCCTGATAAAATATTTGAAACTGGAACTGTCCTGAAAACTCTGGGGCTTCTGGTTGCTGTGAGTACTTCCTCCTGGAGGGGTCTGGGCAGCTCTGTCCAGATCCATGTGAGGAATTAGAAAGGGTGCCCCGGGCTTCCCTGGTGGCGCAGTGGTTAAGAATCCACCTGCGAATGCAGGGGACACGGGTTTGAGCCCTGGTCTGCGAAGGTCCCACATGCCGCGGAGCAACTAAGCCCGTGCGCCACAACTACTGAGCCTGCGCTCTAGAGCCCATGAGCCACAACTACTGAGCCCGCGCTCCTAGAGTCCGTGCTCTGCAACAAGAGAAGCCACTGCAATGAGAAGCCCGCGCACCGTAACAAAGAGTAGCCCCTGCTTACCGCAAGTAGAGAAAGCCTGCGCACAGCAGTGAAGACCCAATACAGCCAAAAATAAATAATTAATTAAAAAAAAAAAGGGTGCCCCAGGTATGTCCTACTTTACTTCATATAAGGCCCAGAGGCAATTTTTACCCCTAAGCTTTAAGAAATTAAGCTTCTGCACCCCTCACTTGCCAGGGCCTTGTTCTTTCTAAGGCACTGGGAGGAGGCCTAGTGATGTGTTCATATGTTTGTGTATAAATAGCAAAAATAAGATATTTTGTATTGTTTTCTATTGAAGATGATCTCAGAAATTTTATAAGCTTTAGGCCCTATGAATCTGGATCCACTCCTGACAAGGATTTCCTTTCTGGCCACACCTTTACATAACGAGATGGTAAGCAGCTTCAGTTGCAGGCCAGGACACGCTGCAATGCCAAGGATCGAGGGGGAATGCAAGAACAGAGGAGTGTTCATCACTCAATTAGCTACTGGAATGCAGAGAAAACTGCAAGCTGAAGCAAGAGCATACCTCCTGAGGAAAAAAAAAGTTATAGACTCTGGTCTGGTGCAAAGGGTTCTTTCTTCAGAGGGATGGGTGGTTAAGTGGCACTAATCAGTTATTTGTTTAAAAGTCTTTGAGAAAACTTAGTGATCTACCTTTAAATCCTCCACATATGAAAATACCATTTCCTATGTGCTGTGCTTCAACCACCCCAAGCCCTGGAAGGGTTGTCTCCTGCAGTGGAGAAAACCCTCCAGTGGCTACTCCTAGCCCCAACTGCTTTGCTAAGTATGTGACTTTGGCCAAATTATGAATCCCTCCAAACCTCACTTTGTTCATCTTTAAAATGAGGGTGTTGGATTAGGCAGCCTTATCCTGAAACTTGAATAATTTTATGGTATGCAAGGAGAAGTTAAATGTTTTCTATAGTGATACAAGGATATTTCCATGGGAAAATAGGAGGCACATGTCGGGAGGGAGGTTGACATATGGAGAAAATTTGTACCATATGGGATTAGGAAATTAAAAATTATCTCCTCCTGCTCAGTAAATGTGCCAAATATGAGCCTCTCACCCTAAGAACTGTTTTTCTTTTAGCAAATGAGAAGAAGACATTACGAGCATTTCCAAAATTAATAAAATATTCATGTCACGTCAAATGTGAGATGGGTGTAGGCAGTGATGTGTTAGGCTCTAGGAAGGAAATTTGTATTTAAGATGTGCTCTGTGTTATTTGGGAGACTACAACTAAAATAAGACTATCCCAGGGGAAACAGTCATCAAACAAAGCTGATAAGACATAACCATGAGCCAGAATTGATAATGGGCTGATTTAGTAAATCATGGTGCATGCATTCTATGGAAAACTATGTAATCATCAAATAGAATGAATCACATTTATATGTATTGACTTGGAAAGGTGTAGAAGACATATTGTCTAGTGAAAATAAGCAAGCGTTGAACAATATGAAGGGAATGATCATGTTTTTAAAAAAGCAAAACTGAGACTCTAAATAGGCAATTCTGTGTTTGTATAATAAAAGTATGGAATGATACACACCAACACCCTGCCACCAGTTACTTTAAGAGGGTGGGGTTGGACAGAGGAGGAAGAGGGAATTACTTTTATTTTTTTATCTTTCTGTAATTCAATTTGTTTAAATTGTTACAATAAGTGTGTATTATAATTTTTAAAAGTGCTTTTGTAAAACAAACAAAAAGCATAACCTTTGTTTCCTTAGGCCTCACCAGTGTGTGGACGTGTGTTGGCTCATACGGCTCCATCTTTCACTCTGCAGTAACCCCAGCTCTGCACTACAACTCACCGGGTGACTTCAAGTCCAGCCCTCTCCTATTTGGGAAGGGGCCTTAGCACAGCTCCGAGGCAGATGCCTGCCCTGAGGGGGCGCTGTCCATGCTCAGCCCTCTGCCAGAGCTGCAAGGTGGCACCCTGTTCCCTCGGATTCCCGAAATCCCAGCAGGGCCTTTGTTGGGGAAGGAGGAATGCCTTTCCTCCCCCTTCTCCATCACCCTTTGCTGGGTGGTCACCACGGGGGCCCGCCTGGGCTCCGCGAGCACATCAGCCCTCCCAGGCTGGTCCCACTCTTCAGAAATGCCTGGGCCCTCTATGTGGGATCCGCCTCTGGGGGCAGGCCCACACACCATGAATGCTAAGTTGTGTGGGGAAGGCAGAAATTCAGTGAAGGGAAAGGCCCAGGGTCCAGCTGGGGCTGGAAGGAGGGATGGAGATCGGAGACATCAAACTGTGAACCGTAACGCCGGCCATAGCGAGAGAGTGGAGCGAGAGTGAGAAAGGGAGAGGCAGCCGGCCCACCACTGTTGGCCAGTCTGGGGCGCACTCCGCTTAAACACAAACAGTCTCACTGAATGAACATCTGTATCAGAGAAGACCACTCCGTGACCCTGATGGATCGAGACAAAAACAGGACCCCTCTGGAATCATGTCTGACCGTAATCAAAGCCAAGAAATTGTCCAGACCACAAAAATGGCCACCAAACATTCCTCTGTCCTGGGTAACATGAGTGACTTTGTCTTCTTTAGCAATTACAGCTGTGGGCTCGCCTTGTTCCTCCTGCCTTCTAGATGAGTAAGGTACCAATCCTAGGATCATCCCTGCTTCCTGACAACATCCAATCCAGAGCAGTGCCCCACTTCCTTGAACCCTCCCCAGAATCACTGAACACAAGCCCAAACCCTATCCTAAGCCCTTTTTTAACACCGTCTTACTGACGGTATGCAGTCTTCTCAAAAGAAGTGCAATTGTCGCAGCTGGAGAAAATGAATGACGGGGACATGCCACGCAGCGTGTCCCATGCAGCAAGCCTTAGTGGGTTAGGGTGGAAGAAGAAATGATATAGTTAGGGACACTTCCAGAAAGTCAGCCAAACTCTGGGCTGGTGGGGACAGCAAGAGAAGCAGGTCCCCTCAGAGTGCAGCAATCAGCGGAGGGATGCCTACTTCTAACCCTTAACTCCATGGGCTATAACACCTTTCACTTGTGCATTGTTGCCAGGGCTTTGCCATCACACAGAGAAGGGCTGCTTCTAACTGGAAGGATGCTGCTGAGCTCTGAAGGTCAGTTCTGGCTTTCTTCCACATTTTACTGTACTTGAGTAACCAAGGCAGGCCATTCCACTTTGGCCCGAGGGCAACTGACTCCAAGGAGGAGAAAATAGATGACAGATGTCAAGAGCTGCATTTTGCAACCAGTGTTTTCTCACCAGCGCTACCTCTGGTAGTTCCTGGATTTTATAGTTGATAGTACCCCAGTAGACCTTCAAGCTAGCACATCCCTCCCTTAGCAAGGAACTTTTGGATCTGGAGCATTTGTATTTAAAAACAAACAAAACCCAGGGTGATTTTGAATGACATTTAAAAAAAAATCCAACACGTACCATGCTGCAGATGGTGTTCAAGAGAGGAAGGTCGAGTCAATAGCAAGTTGCCCCTGTGATTTGCATCATCAAATTAACTAATGTTTATTGGGCACCTACTTTCTAAGAGGCTGGCCACTGAGGAATTAAAAGATAACTGAGCTGGGCTTCCCTGGTGGCGCAATGGTTGAGAGTCCGCCTGCCGATGCAGGGGACACGGGTTCGTGCCCCGGTCCGGGAAGATCCCACGTGCCGCGGAGCAGCTGGGCCCGTGCGCCACAGCTGCTGAGCCTGCTCTCTGGAGCCCGCAAGCCACAACTACTGAAGCCCGCGCGCCTGGAGCACGTGCTCCGCAACAAGAGAGGCCACTGTGGTGAGAGGCCCGCGCACCGCAGTGAGGAGTGGCCCCCGCTCGCCACAACTGGAGAGAGCCCGCGTGCAGCAACGAAGACCCAGCACAGCCATAAATAAATAAATATATATATATAAATAAATCTATTAAAAAAAATCTAATGCAAAGGCATAGGAAATGTACACAGATCACCATGGTAATGGGAAGAAGGGGATGATTACATCTACTGGAAGGATCAAGGTTGTAAAGTTTGGATTTTAAAATCAGAAAATGATCGTGAGGCGTTCTTGATCTGGGCTTCAGTTCATCGGCCAACAGCCATGGACATAACGGTCACCTCCTTGCCCCTCTCCTGGAGCGTGTGAGGGTCCTGGTCCCTAAGACATCCTCTCTGGCCCTCCACGTCTCTGCCTTGCTCACCAGCAGCCTGATAGAAGGACAGACTCAGGAGAGGGTCAACTGCTGCTCAGCTCTCTTGATCCCTAAGGAGTCTCATCCCCAAGGTGCAGAGGCCGTAGGAATTGGAAACTGATCATTATGAGACTCTCAGAGACTGGAGAATAATGATCAGAAAAAGGGGTCACTAGTGTCAAAAGCATAATTATGATAACTCATTCAGCTTGCTGAAAGAGAGTGGAGGAATTGGGAATTATGTCCCTACGCCTAGACAGTCTCCCTGCTTGATTTAACATGGTCACATTTTTTCCTGTTTTGAGAATGAGAGGAAGACAGATGCCTACTTTATTT